CACCCAGGCCGCCCGCGGCTCCACCCTCTGACTCGCCGAGTCGCTGTCGAACCAGGCGATCTGCGTGTCGTCCACGTAGCCCACGGCGATAAAGCGGGGTTCCCCGCGGCCCGACTGGGACACGACGGTATCGAAATACCTCAGGGAGTGGGAGCCTGGGGGGACGGGCAGTGAGACTCGCCCGACCCTCCTCCCTGCGGACCTGGTCCCAGCTCCATGGGGCCGAGAGGGGACGAGGCTCCGGAGACCCGAGACACGGAGGGGCGGACACGGGGTCAGGACAGGGGACAGGGCGGAGACGGGGCTTCCCGTCCGCCCTTGACGCCGGCTCCCCCCGACCAGACCTCACCCGCCCAGGTCCTGGTCAGGGCCAGGGCTCCTGAGAGCACCAGGAGGAGGGTTCCCTGGAGGGTTCGGGGTGCCTTGACCGCCATCCTCAGAGTTAGGGGAGATCTGAGCCCCAGCTGCTTCCTCGGAGTTTCTAACCTGGAACTGCGACGGCGCTGATTGGCTCCTGTGAAAACAGGGCGCCCAATGGGAGTGAGAGCTGGGGCCCCGTCAGGAGTGTCCAGGCAGAAGGACTCGACCCTGAGTAGGAGGGAAAAGTGAGAAGCTGGGAGAATGGGACTCACCTGTGCCGGGCTTCCCTGCCCAGGACTCCGCCCTTGGGACCGAGACCCCAGACTTTGCCCTGACCCTTTGGTCTTGTACTGAGCTCTCTTTGTTGCCTCTTCCCCCTGAGGCCTGGACAGAAGCTGTGAAGTCGGCTGTTCTCAAAAGTTGAGGTTTTAGGGATCAGCAGTTAGTAATGGCTATGTCGCTGGACTCCCACGTAGTCGACCCTGGTTCGAGTCCCAGACCCTGTGGCTTAAATTCACGCCGGGCACGTGTGCGTGCGTGCCCAAGATCCCGAGAGGAGAATGGAGGAGAAGGGATTGCGGCATGGCCATCCCCCCTGAGGGGTGATTTCTCGCTTTCTGTCTCTCTGTCTCTCTCTGTCTTTCTGGCGAGCACACGTGCCCTATAGCAAAAACCTCTCCCCCCCAAAAAAAGTTCAGGTTTCAGAGTCTTAGATGCTCTTAGGAAGTACTGAAGACTCCAAATGTAATTTGTCATAGGATGGGAGAGTTGATCTGTGTTGTGTAAAATCCTTGGTTCTTTAGGTCCAGATCTCTAAGATGAGAGACCTGTTCTGAGATGCAAAATGAAAAACCAGAAACACTTGTAAACTAGTAGAAAGGAAAGTTTTAATAGGAAAGCTAGGATTTAAGAAAGAATATGGCCCCCAGAGTTCAGGTTGGAAACTTGACCCCCAGTGTGGAGGTGTTGAATTTCAACCCTGGTGGTTTGAAGGACAGCCAGGTATATGTGCACCTACTTGAGATCCAGAGGAGATGAAGATATGGAGAAAAAAAGATTGTAGGATGACCAAGTCCCATTATTGGTACTTCTCTTTTTCTCTCTCATGTGTGCACACACACACAATCTGGAATGGAAAAAAATTCTTTCCTAGCTATTTTGAAGAAACACAATACATTATTGTTAACTACCCTGCTTTGCTGTGAGACAGTAGAACTTACACATGAGAGAATTTCTGAGAAAAAAACTTGTAGAAGGACTGTGAAGCTAATGATCACAAACCTTTGTAAATTCATAGATATTACCAGATGGCATTCCAGAAGATTTGAATCAACCACATGCTGTCAGTTGTACATTGAAATGTCTACTTCCTGAGTCCATCCCATTGTTGGCAGTCAGTGTTTTGGTATTTTCTCTAATGTATCAAAGACTTAATCACTATTGCCTTAATGTGTACTGCTGTGTTTATTAGTGAGATTACATATTTATTGTTTTTCCAGACCCGTTCTCACTATGCTGTGTGTCTCCTGCCTCAGCCTCTCAAGTAGCTGGGACTACAGGTGTGACCACCATGCCTAGCTTTTCAGCTCAGCGAGAATTGAACATTGACTTTCCACTTGGTCGCAGTCTGCAGAGAGGCAGCATCAACCAGTGTTGGCTACCCTGCTGTTTTCCTTCATTTTTGCTATGATTTTCACTTCTTTATTTCTGAGTATTTTGGATTTAATCGGCTCTTATTTTCCTAGTTCTTAATATGGAAGTTTAGACTACCAATGTTTTATTTTTTTAACATAGGCATTCAATGCTATAAAATTCCCTCTAAGCACTATTTCTACTGCAAATCTCTTGTGATATTTGTGTTTTCATTTAGTTAAACGTATTTCTAAATTTCGCTTGAGATTTCTTTTTCAATCCATATGTTATTTAAAAGTGTATCATTTAATCTCTATCTTGGTATTTCACAGCTGTCTTCCTGTTATTGCTTTACAGTTTAGTTCCATTGTGGCCTGAGAACAGAAATGGCATGATTTCTATCCTTTTGTATGTATCCTTTTCTATCCTATGTCCCAGCATGCTGTGTGCCTTGGTGAATGTTTCATGTGAGCTCGAGAAGACATGTTTTCTGCTGGTGCGTAAAGTAATGCACAGGTGTCAGTTATAGCTGCTTTGTTGATGGCACTGCTGAGCACAGCTCTGCCCTGAGGGCTTTCTGCTTGTTGGGTCTGTCTATTTGTGAAATGGGGGTGTTGAAGTCTGCAAGTTTATTAATGAATTCATCTATTTTTCCTGGAAGATCTATCAGTTTTTGCCTCACATTTTGACACTGTTTTTACATGTATAAATGTTAAGAATTGTTATGTCTATTTAGAGAATTAACTCATTTATCATTAAGCAGTGGCCTCTTTTATCCCTGATAATTGTCCTTGTCTTGAAGTCTTCTCTGTTTAAAAAAACCTTTTTAAGAATTATTTAATTTTATTTATGCATTCATTCATTTTCATTAGACCAGAGAGAGACATACACACACACAGAGAGGAAAATTGAGAAAGCAAGCCACCACGTTCAGGACTCGAACCATGTTTGGCCATGAGGAAGTGTCCAGCACCTTAACCACCATGCCACCTGTGAGTTTCCTCTTTTTAAAATTAATATAATTACTGATACTTCTGGTTTCGGCCTGCCTCTCTCTTTTTGTTCAGAGAACACACCTGCAAACATGGTGAACGTCCCTAAAACCCACGGACTTTATGTAGGAAGTGTGGCAAGCACCAGCCTCACAGAGTGACACCATACAAAAAGGGCAAGGATCCCCTGGGTGCTCAGGGAAAGTGGTGTTGTGACAGGAAGCAGAGTGGCTATGGTGGACACACTAAGCTATATTCCATAAAAAAGGCAAAAACCACAAAGAAGATTGAGGCTTGAGTGTGCTGAGCCCAATGTAGATCTGAGAGAAGCCTGGCTATTAAGAGATCCGAGCATTGTGAGCTGGGAGGGGATAAGAAGACAGAGAGTCAAGTGATCCAGTTCTAAGCTTCATCCTTTTTATTATGAAGATGACAAAATCTTGAGGTGAATGTTCACCTCATTTAATTACAGGGGTTTTTTTGTGTGTGTGTATGTAAGGGAATAAAGTAATCAATAAAATTTCCCTTTTGGGGAAATTTGATTCGCAGTAAAAAAAAATTAATTACCTCAGTTTTCTTTTGATTAGTGCCAGAATGGGCTATATTTCTCCATCTATTTACTTTTTTTTTTTTTGAGAGTTTTTTGCTGTAGGGTGTGTTTCTCGTCAGAGAGACAGAGACAGAAAGCTAGAAATCACCACCCCCCCCCGGGGGGAGGCCCACGACAACAGATCTTGGGCATGCATGCACACACGCCTGGCGTGAGTTTAAGCTACCAGGCCCGGAACTCAAACCACGGTCAACTACATGGGAGTCCGGCGATGCAGTCATTACTCTATCTGCTGGTTCCCATCTACCTATTTACTTAAAACATTTTTTTTTTATTTTGCTTTCAGGCAGGTGCACTCACTGGAGAGATACCGAAAGACAGAAAATGAGAGATTATCCCGGTGGGGATGGTCATGCCTCAGTTTCTCCTCCATTCTCTTATGATTTGGGGCATGCATGCACACATACCTAGTGTGTTTTTCAAGCTTTCAGGTGCAGGACTCAAACTACTGAGTTGGCCATATAGGGTCCAGGTACCTTACCCACCATTCTACCAGGTGGCCTCCATGTGTACAGTATATGTACTTGCATTTAAAAGGGGTTTCTTGTAAATAACATAGAATTAGGTTCTTGTTTTTTGATCCACTCAATCTCTGTCTTTTGACTATGAAAGAAATTTGATATTTAAAGTGATTATTGATATACTGCATTGTTAGAAACATCATGTCATATTTTTTTCCGTTTTTCTTTACAAAAATGCATCATGACTACCAGGTGGACTTCTTCCCTAAATCTTAAGATTTCCTTCCTGCATGGAAAGTTCTTCACGTGTGGTATTAGTATTCCCTCATTTTAAAGTTTCCCTAGGATATGTAATCATCAATAGCTGGTATAACAGAGGAGGAGTTTTCAAAAATTAAACACTTGTCTAATTTCTAACAGTCTACTCATGGCGTCATAGTCTTTCCCTTTGTCCACTATTCCCACTCTCGCACTTTGTCCACTATTCCCAGGACAAATGTAGAACTTTGATCATGTATTGATAGTAATAAAGCGGAATTCTCTTCAAGAGATTGATAAATTAAATAGCAAAAGCTCTTATACAATGTTTAATTATACTGTGAGTCTTATGAGAAGTGTGGAGACAACCCCACTAACTCACCAGAATACAGAACTCGGTCTTACAATTTCTGGATACCTTTCAAACCTTTTCTTCAATAACTGAATTCTGAAAATAACCATATGATTAGGAGACCTGTCCACCAATGAACTTATCTATTGTTTCCTCCTTATTGTGAGCTGAATAGCATGACAGAGCAAGGCAAAGAGGCATACGATCAATTCTTAAGGTATTACATCAAAAAAGTCAGAGCTTCCACAGCATGGTAACAGCTTTGCAGATGCCTGCGCATGACAGTTGAAAGAACAAAGCCCGGCAAAGGTTAAAGCTGAGAGTGCCAAAAGGCCTGCTTTGGCAGCTTTCTGTGATGCATCCCCATGAACATAGTAACAACTTGTCCAAGGCCCCAGTGACTATGGAGAGTGAGAGCTGCAGCCAGGGAGTAGTCCATCGCTGAGCAAGGATTCAGATAAGCAGCTAGAAGCAGGCCCAGGAGCAAAACACTGACAACTCTCTCACCAGTCCAGTGGAGAGATGCAGCCTTGGATTGGTGACAGGTGCCTTTTGGGGAAATTTGATTCACGGTAAAAAAAAAAAATTAATTACCTCAGTTTTCTTTTGATTAGTGCCAGAATGGGCTATATTTCTCCATCTATTTACTTTTTTTTTTTTTGAGAGTTTTTTGCTTTAGGGTGGGTTTTTCGTCAACGACACACGGAAAAGCTAGAAATCACCCCCCCCCCCAGGGGGGATGGCCATGCCACAATCCCTTCTCCATTCTCCTCTTGGGATCTTGGGCACGCATGCACACACGCCTGG